TCATGTAAAATCCTTTTTTCCTAGGAATTCCAAGAAAGATTGTTTTATTACATATTTAACAAATCTTAAAATTTTTAAAGTGTAATAAAACAATCTTTCTATTTAGGTATTAAAAATGAAAAAGAAATTGTACAACAAAACTTTAATTTTATTTAATGCAAGCTGTAGTTGGGGCCACACGTACCGTGCGTGTATCGAGATGCAAGTATAGTACAATTAATACAATTACTTTTAAACGTAGCGTATTATATCTTAATATATATTCTTTATTGCACTTGTAAGTTAAATATTAATACACATATATACACATATATATACACACACATATATATACACATATATACACATATATTAATACACATAAACACACACATATGTACACATGAATATTTAATTTTGCCTAATTCATTAAAGAAGAATCTAAGATGTGCCTTCTCAGTGACTGCGTAGTTTATTATTGTCTCCTCTTAAGATGCTTTTTCCTTAGTTTGACCTTGGAATTTCCAAAAAGATTGCTTCCTTAGCTTGCCTGGTGACTCGTCTGTGGTGTTCAATTCTTTTGGTGAAGGTGACCTGTGAATGTAAACATTTTTTTACTAGTACACAGATATAATATATACACAATTGAAAAAGATTAAAGAAATTGAAAAAGACGTCAATCACGAAGAAGAGCCTGATCGACGATCCACTATCATTATAAAAACTACGACCTCTCTGTCAAGAGTGTACGACTGAAGAGCGAGAGAGAGAGAGAGAGAGATATATATATAACAAGCGAACAGATTTTTACCCCTGTGACATTATTGCAGATAAATCAGTTTGCGTGTTTGTCACCTGTCGATGCCTTAACGCACAATCAATGGTCGCGTTGTACTACACATGGAGACGGAGATAAGCTACTATTTATCATGATCAATCAACGTATCTTGGACACGCGGACAAAGGCGCGGATCAAAGTTAGTAGCTACAGATATAATTATTCTGTGACACGCTTTACGACACTGAGCTGAGCTAATTATTGTTATATTATACTGTACACGACTGACTACTAATTAGTAAGTGAAAAAATATATATTTGATTCGGTACAACTATTTATGGTTTTTAATATAAGTCTAGTCGATCCGACAAACGGGTCGATTTTCAAGGTTCCGAACTAAAAAGGTGCAAAGGAACCCTTATGGTGCGAATTTGTCCGTTTGTTTGTCTTAGCATTATTTCTTATCAATTACTTATATCATCAATTATAATTTTTTGTTACTGTTGGCCCGCACATATTGCAATAGAAACAAGTTAAAAAAAACATGTTTAATGTCTATGCTAGAAGATCGAAAAGGCATAAACTATATCGCATATAAATCTACTACCAAAAGCTTTACAAATATATTATATTGTGAAAACTATGCAATTTATTGCAACAGTCTCCGTGTGTTACTGGAACAAACATACAAATAGATTTATAAAGCTCCTAAACTTACTGTTTTGACTTATATTGTTCTAATTAAGAGCCCTCATATTAAATTTTCTTAAATACATCCCATGTTCAGATTTCGTCTAATTATATTTTAATTATAATAGTAAAGTTGATATTCATGAATATACACATTTACATTTTATAGTTTTAATTGACATTTAAAATAAAAAAAACAACAACAATATCGTACACTAAAACTTAAATTTTATTCAATGCAAGCTATAGTTGGGACCACACGTACAGTACGTGTATCCAGATACAAGTATAGAATAATTAATAAAAATAATTTTAAACGTAGCGTATTATGTCTTATGTCTTAATACACTCAAACACACACATAGGTATACACGAATATTTAATTTTGCTTAATTCATTAAAATAGAATCTGAGATATGTCTGTTCGATAACTTTGAGTATTTCATTGTGGTATTGAACCTCTTCATAAGTTGCTTTTTCCTTAGTTTGTCCCTCGAATTCACAAGAAGATTGTTTCCTTAGCTTGCCTGGTGACTCGTCTATGGTATTCTATTCTTTTGGTGAAGGTGTGAGTGTAAATTTTTTCTAATTAGTGCGTAGATTTAATATGAAATAATATGTATAAAATTAAACTTAAATGACATTTTAGGGAAAGGGGAATTACCAACATATTCGTGTACATGTGATCTACCCTAGCTATACTTACATTTGGACAGGAGCCGAGTTGGTTGACTCTGAGTTCGGAGCCACTACTCCATCATTGCGTGCCAAATAGGACTTCCATTGGAGTGAAACTGCAAACAGAATAAGAGAAATACATTAATTTAATATATTACACACACAGTGATGAAACCGGCGTGGCGTATGGCGGCGGTATACTTGCCGGCTTATAGGCTCCAAAGTTCATGTGTTCGGATCTGGCCGACACCAAATACTTTGTAAGTCAATACGAAAGGCTGACTGATTCAGGTGATGAAAACATCGATAATAAACAAATATATTTTAACCATCAACAACACATTCTTTGAGTATTAAATTTTTTCATAAACTTATTGCCTGATATAAATCAAAAAACAAGAGAAGGTCAAGGTTTTTCTTAAAGGGTCACACAACTAAACTATCTATAACAACAGTCACGCGGCTTTGCCTGCGTGAATCAGTACATAAAGTGTTTTATGTGCTAAGTTACTATAAAATACGGGTAGCAGTATTATTAAATTACATTAAAATCAAATAATAATTTCTCCATCAATTTATCTATACGTCCTTATAAATTTTCACATTTATAATATTAAAAGGATACTCACCCTCCAACTGCGACAAGTAGTAAGCGTCCAACCTCCCTCCAAGCTTTGAGTATTCTGATGCAGAACGGGCTGGCTGATAAAGAATGCATTTGCGACCACACGCGCAACGGATGCCGCCGCTGTTACCTCTAGTTCAGTCACTGCAGCGTCCTATACACAATCAAAAAATAGATTAATTGAGTGAATATTAAAATTTGTTACTATTTACATATAGAGAGTGTTTCAGTCATAATTTCAATGACTTGCTTACCTTTCTGTTAAGTTTAAACGAACGAATGAACGAAACGACCTCTATGTGCACTGGATAACCGTCGTAGCACACTGACGTTGTCAGCGAATTGCCGCTCTTTTATATGTGAGAAGTGTCATTTTTTTCATGAGATTCTTAAATTTTAAGTAAATTTAAACATCGATCTTTATAATTGTATCATTTATTATTGTCGTAGTTAGTAGTTCAGGTAAAATAAAATGCAAACAAAAACTATGTCAATTCTTTCCTTTCGTTTTTGTACTTAAACTTTGTAGGGTTCTCTTCGCAAATTGATGTTATCCGTCTGAACATTTATCTTTCAAATCGTAGCATTTACTATTGTCGAAGTGAAACAAATTACACTAATTTCGACAATAATAGATGCTATGGACACAATACAGACAAAAATTTAAAATTAATTCTTGACATCTTTTCTGGTTTTTTGTTAAAGAAAATTTTTTTCGCAGAAACGGTGGTGTTGGGTATTATATTAAGTCAAAAAAGTATTAATTATTAATAACATGTTTTTGGGCTTATACACATAAGGACAGTATTATAGTAGTATTCCATTACTACAGAATTACGCCATCAATTGCCAAAAGAGGCCATTTCATTTCAGTGATATTTGCAATAAAATTTGTTTAATTGAAACGGACTGTATGGTATTGCGAAGTACTCGTAGCATATTGGCGTTGCCAGCAAATTGCCAGTCTTTTATATATGAGGAATGATGTATTTTTCCAGAGATCCTTAAAATTTGATTAAATTTGAATATTGATCGTTATAATATCATCATCGTTTATTGTCAAAATTAGCAATGTAAAATAAGGTAAATGAGGTAAATAAGGTAAGTGAGATAAAATACAAACAGAAACTAAATCAATTCTTTCCACTATTTTTTTGTAGCATATTGATAAAAAAGAAACTATTTTTCCAAAAACTTGACAGTGAGCATTAAAAAGTAAGTATTAATATAAAAAAAATCGGTTAAAAAATTCCTTTCTCAGAAATCCTTATTTTTTAATCAAATTAGAAAAAATATTATTAAGTAACTATTAAAGGAAGGTGATTTTTAATTTGTCCAAGTAACACATATAAAAATATTTCATTTAAATTAATAGTTTATTAATACTTAGAATTTCGATTATATTTAATTACAATAGTATGTATATTTATTTTTGCTTGAACAGCAATGTTACAATAGTGTCAGCGTTGCAGAAGGCTAAACGTAATGTCTGACCGGACTCATGCAAAAAATGTACATTGAAAATAAAATACATGAATGCTCTTACAAATTTTGGAATTGAAGATGTGTTTTAAATTTCTTATACATGTGTAAATGGGAGGTTGTCGACCTGGAAATGTGCTTGTATTTGTACTGTGCAAGGATCGTTTTTTTTAATGGTCGATAATGTAATGGTAACTCCACCTGCGCTATTGGAACACACTGGCAGGGCACCAGTGAGTGATGGTAGGTGACAATGTAGCCGGTCAGTTAGCCCATCGTGTATGTACAATGGCTGTTACAGCTGTTTTTTCATGAGACAATATGAACATGTTTTTTTTAAAGAAGATGTTATTCTCAAAAGTATCGGCGCAGACCACTAAATTTTGTAGCGCGATTGTTTTAACGATATTTCATAAGATATTCATTTTTTATATATTATTAAATTATTATGTACATAAAATGCTTAAGATAATTAAAATACTTAATCGAATAAAGACAAATATCGTAACCGTCTAAACTTCATAAAATTTGCAAAAAATGTATTATCTATAATATTTATTTTATACCAGAGTAGACGGTTACTCCTTAACTTTTCTGCCCCTGGCGCTCCTTTCGTACTTTCTTTGATATTCTATTGAATTCTTAATTTTGTCCAATCTCAACATTCGCATATCAGCTACATGCAGTAGTTTTTAATTTATTAACATTCCTGGCCAGCGCTCTGATCCGTACAAGCCTGGCAAGGCTTGCAGCCGGATAATGCTCTAGTAAATTTTCCGGGGAAGTTGCCGTAACCTGCCGCCATTTCATGTATTCTGCGTTGATTCAATCTTTACTGTTCGGTACGTAAAATTATTTATTGTGTTGAAGAAATAAAAAAATGATTTATACTTATAATTAATTTTATTTCCTAAAATTATAAATTAAGACTAACTTAATTATAAAATACAAGATACTCGTCCCATGTTCGTAGATTTATAAGTGTGCTGTCATCATTTAAAGTCATAGCGAAGCCTTAAGATTTTTTTTTTATTATTTTTAATTATTTATATTTTTTAATTATTTTTATTTATTATGTTTTTTTAATTATTTTTATTTTTTATATCTTTTTTTTTATTTTATATTTTTTGTTTTTTTTTTTATTTTTAATATTTTATATTTTTATATTTATTTTTTATTTTTAAATACTAAATATACTAAGGATCAGGTTTGTCGTTTATAATACTAACTAGGTGAGGCTTACGATTAATCTTAAACATAGCGCATTACAAATACATACTATACACTAAAATACTTGGTCCATTATCCTAGCGTAGTGTGTGCGAATACCGTCGAATAAATTATTACATATACGTATTAGTGTGTTAACATGAAATACAATGTGTGTGTTCACATTACAGTCCAGTCCAGTTTCGTTCCAGTCACAATCAATCACTGTTTTTACTTTGTACGAATGTAGAACGAGTGTTGATCGGCTGGTCATGGCTCCGGCGGTACCGCGGGGCCACAGCCCGCCAGCACGAGTAGCGGCGGCACTGGAGACATTGTATACTGCTAGAAAATAAATAAGAACTATTAGTAACAGTGGATAAATTGATCTACTAGGGAGCAAGGGATTGCCAGTACAGAGCTACCGTTAGCGGTACACGAATGGAGCATTGCTATGTAGTTTCACTGTCACATCTCACCCTTCGAACCGAAACAGAATGTCTGCAGAGATGTCCGTGCAGATAAGACCACCAGTCTCTTATTCATTTAAAATATGTTTTTTTTTTAATAAAAAGAAAAATACTTCGGTATTAGTGTACAGACGATCTATCCTAAACCTACTTACACGGGGAGAAAGGAGTGTTAGTAATGGGGAGATTAGTCCCCGTTGCTATTAATGTACACTCTATTAGGCTGACCTCCTGGAAACTATCATGACTATTTTACCGTTGAATTCGTCACGATAGGCTAACTGATCTGCCTTTTCATTCTCACCTATCATCTCTCACTGGTACGTCGCCAGTGTATACCGATAGCGCAGACGGGGTTGCCATGCCACTTTCATCAAGAAAAAAACCTACTTACACAGTGCAGCTCTAGTGATGGATTCGAATTTGTTCCTACCCTATCATTGTGATACGTTCGCTAAAATCATAAAGACATGCCACTAAATGCTTTGTGGGTCAATGTAAAGTGCTGATTAAGGCAGACGATGGAAACCACCGATAACATACCTAGTTAATTCTATTAATAATTATTTCATAATCATGAATTATGCTATGCGTCATTATCAATTATAATTATATTACCAATAGATATAATGATTTACGTGATATAGTGATACCGATACATACGAGAATGTACATTGAAGATAGTTTTCAAATAAATAAAAAAAGCTAAAAATAACATGTTAACAACTATAATCCTGTCCCGTTAATCCCATTGATCCTGCGAAAATGAAATTAATACAAAAGTCTGTAAGTACTCGTTTGTATAGATGAATTACTGTTTCAGTTTTAAGGAACGGATTACATTAATTAACATACGGTGTACTAATTTTTCGTTTAGGATACTTCATTTACTGACTTACGCTAGTAAAGTCACAGGTTTATTTTTTTTTTATACCACTGAGGTGGCAAACAAGCATACGGCCCACCTGATGGTAAGTGGTTACCGTAGCCTATGAACACCTGCAATAGAGGTATTACGCGTGCGTTGCCGACCCTGAAGAAACCTCTTCACCCCCCTTTTGAAGAACCCCATGCTGTAAGCTCTTGGGAAAATCTCGGCAGGGAGCTCATTCCATAATTAATAATTCCTGAGTGTTCGTGGGGGGGAAACATCTCTGAAAAGCGGATAGCTTCCATCTTGACTATACACTGACGCATGCGGGCAAGGCCGCGGGTAACAACTAGTCCCTAATAAGGTGGTTTAAGGCATGTGTAGACAGTTTTTAAGAAGAAGAAGTATAATTTAAACTCACCATTCGCCCGCGGTGCCATGTTAGGGTGAGCTCCTGGATGTCTTTCCAAGCTTAGAGTGTCGTAATGCCATTTTGCATTGTGGCGACTAGGGCCGCGTCAGCAGCAGCTGCCGTGGCGGTCGCCTCCAGTCATTCGGCCCACATGCTCGACTGCTCCTCTTCAGCCACTGTTACGTTTTATAAATAGATAAATATTAAAGAATAATTCGAATATTTGATTAAATTTCACTGCTTTCATTTAATGTTTCAGAGATAATTTCCACAATACTTGGCTACCTTTTCGAAACTCCATCGATACAGGCTACATATGGACTGAAAAGTGCTAAATGGCTAACGTCGCCCGTGAAGGGCAACGTTAGCCACTTAGCACTTACAGCACACTGACCTTGCCAGCACGTAGCCAGCCCTTTATATATTAGAAACGATGATTTTTTTATGAAGTTCTGAAATTTTGTAGGATTCGCAAACTGATGTTATCGATTTAAACATTAATCTTTGCAATCGTAACATCTACTGTTGTCGAAATTAGTGAAACAAATTAAATGCAGTACAGACAAAAAATTAAATCAAGTCTTACCATCTTTTCTGTTTATTGTTAATGAAAAATTTGTTTATTTTCCCAAAAACGACGTAGTGTGTATTATATTTAATTTAAAAAATAGGTATTAACATAAAAATACAGTAAAGACAGTACCAAAATAGCATTCTGTTTTCACGTTTGTTAGTCACTAACAAAAGAAGATGGTTCCCAAGTCATGACCCTCTAGCAAATGTAATAAACATGTTTTTTAAATTATTTTTAATGCAGTATGTGCGGGCCAACAGTATCAAAAAGTTATAATCGATGACATTAGTAGTTGTTGAGATATAATGCTGTGATAAACAGACGGATGGATAGACAAATACGCACAATACCGGTTCCTTTGTATCTTTTAAGTGGAAAACTGTAAAAATGGATCCGTTTGCCGGATCGTCTAGACTTAACGGTATTTCTCCCATTTGCTACAAATTACATGTCCATGCAATTTTTAGACAAACTACGTAATTTAAAAAAAAAAGTGTTAAAGTGGGTTTGTTGATTATCCCTTGACGCCTTAAGGGCTTAACTGGTAGCCATGAAATTTGACAAACACGTACTATATGGGATTTAGAAGCACATAGGCTACTAGTTAATATTGCTGGTCATATGGCATTCATCTTCATGATTTCATAGATATTTTTTTTAATTATTGGCTTATATCGTTCTAATTAAGGGTCTTCGTATTAATTTTTCTTAAATATCTCCCTTGTACAGACATAGTCTAATTATAATTTTATTATTTTAGTAAAATTGATCTATACATCTATTCACGAATACACACATTTGCAAATTATAGTTCTAATAGATATTTAAAATTAAAAAACAAAAAACAATATCGTACACTAAAACTTTAATTTAATTCAATACAAGCTATAGTTGGGACCACACGTACCGTACGTGCATCGAGATACAAGTATAGAATAATTAATACAGATAATTTTAAACGTAGCGTATTCTTATATCTTAATACATACAAATTCACACACAGCCTAACAAATATACACAAATATTTCATTTTGCTTAATTCATTAAATAAGAATCTAAGATGTGTCTCCCCAATAACTTTGAATAGTTCGTTGTGGTGTTGAGATTCCTCGCAAGATGCTTTTTCCTTAGTTTGTTCCTTGAATTTTTGAAAAGATTGTTTCCTTAGCTTGCCTGGTGACTCGTCTATGGCATTCTATTCTTTTGGTGAAGGTGACCTGTGGGTGCAAACACTTTCTAATTAGTACACAGATTTTTTTTGTTGGATGAAAATGGATTGGTAACCCCGCCTGCGCTATGGGAATGGCGCTGATGAGAATGAAAACAGGCAAGTTAGCCTATCATGATGAATTCACCATGAAGAATTAATCATGACAGTTTCCAGGGAGAACCGCGTGGAGGTCGTGTTGTGCCTCTGCACCATGTAACTTCACTACCATATCCCAATTTTAAGACAGAAATAGTTACAATGAAAGCACAGCTGCTTTATGGCGAAAAACGAGTGGGACAGAGTTACCCACGAAGCCATATACCAGTCTTTTATTTACTTAATATGCTGTGTTAGGAAAAGGACACCAACATACTCGTGTACATGCAATTTATCCTAGATATACTTACATTTGGACAGGAACCGAGTTGGTTGACTCAGAGTTCAGAGCCACTAATCCATCACTGTGCGCAAAATCTGGTTTCCGTTGGAGTGAGACTGCAAACAGAATAAGAGAAATACAATAATTTGATACATTACACACATAGTGGCTTGTAGGCCCTAAAGTTCATGTGTCAATGTAAAGTTAATGTAAAGGGTTGACTAATTCCGGTGACGGAAAACGTCTGTAACAAACTATTAATTTCTTCACCATTAACATTACATACTTGGATTATATTCTTTCACAAAGTTGTTGCCTAAAATAAATAAATGAAACAAAAATAAACAGAAGTTTTACTTAAAAGATCACACAACTAAACCGTCTTTATAAATCAATACTTAAAGTATTATATGTGCCACTTTACGATATAACACGGGCAGTATTAAATTTCATTAAAATGCATAGAGTAGTTTTGAGTGAAAAAGTAATAAATATCCGTTCGTCCATCTATCCATTTGTCTTCATAAACTTTCGCAGATTTTGAGACTTTGTACAAAAGTCGATTGCTTGGGTACCTCTGTCCCATTCGTGTTTCAACCGTGAAGCAGTTGTGTTTGCATGGCTGTGTTTCTGTTTGAAGGGTGGGATATGTCGTGAATTTACTGGGTACAGAGGAATAACACCTGAGTCCTCAGGAATGGCAACGCATTGGGGGTATCATGGGCGAAACAGTATACTCTGTTATGTCCATGGTACTGCTCATGTCTATAGGCGACGGTTACCACTTTCCATCAGATGGACCGTCAGCTTGTTTGCCATTCTAAGTTGTATAAAAAAAAATATATATTCACCGTTTGACTGTGACAAGAAGTAAGGGTCCATTCTCCCTCCATGCTTTAGGCGTATTGATGCATAATGCCGTGCCTGATGCAGAATGCATTTGCGACGGCACCAGCAGCGGCTGATGCTGCGGTCACCTCTAGTCGTTCGGTCCATTTGCTTGACTGGTCCTCTTCGGTCACTGCAGCGTTTTATACACAATTAAAAAATAAATTAATTATGTGAATATTAAAATTTGTTACTATTCACATATAGAGAGTGTTCCAGTCATAATTTCAATAAGAATTGCTTACCTTTTCGTTCAGTTTAATGGAATCGGATTCTATGTTGACTGGATGACAGTCGTAGCACACTGATGTTGTCAGCGAATTGCCGCTCTTTTATACGCGAAAAGTGATGATTCTTTCCTTAAATTTTAAATAAATTTGAACATTGATCTTTATAATTGTAATAATTTATTATTGTCGAAGTTAGTAGTTCAGGTGAAATAAAATATAAACAAAATAAATTTTTTAGAATCGACTTTGCAAATTGGCGCTATCAGTCTGAACATTAATCTTTCAAATCGTAGCATCTACTATTGTGGAAAGTAGTGAAACAAATTGCATACAAAAATTATATCAATTCTTGCCATCTCTTCTGGTTTTTGTTAACGAAAACATTTTTTCGCAGAAACGTGGCGGTGGGCATTATATTTAGTCAAAAAAGTAGGTATTAACATGAACATATTTTTGAGCTTAGAGTAAGGACAGTACTATAGTAGCATTTTGTAAGCAACTATTAAAGAAAGGTGGTTTCCGATTCGTCTGATTATTTATGGATTAATACGCATTACGTTTACGACATGGTTCAAAATCCACTGTGTCCCCTTATTCGCTGTATAAGGATAGGATAACTTGATTATTGGAAGATATCTTATCCAGTACCTGATGATATTCGATTATTAATTTTTTATTTGTCCTATTGTTTCGTAGTACTTTTAGTATCAGATAAGAATCTATTGATACTGGAACAAACCTATAGATACATATATAAAATTTCTAAAAATATTGTTTGGATTTATATTATTTTTATTAATAGCCCTCATATTTTTTTTCTTAAATATTTCTCTAATACTGATATTGTTTAATTACAACTTAATTATATTAGTAAATTCGATCTATTTATCTTTTTATGAAAATACACAATTACAAATTAAACTTCTAACAGTTATTTAAAATTAATAAAAGAAAACAATATCGTACGTAAAATCTTTAATTTTATTTAATGCAAGCTATAGTTAGGACCATACGTACCGTTCACATATCTAGAAATTAAATTAAATTAATACGCTACGCATAAATTAGTAAATTTATACGTTGCGTATTATGTTTTAATACACACAAATACACATAGGTATAGAGAAATATTTAATTTTGCTTAATTTATTAAAGAAGAATCTGTGTTTTTTTTTATTTTTTTATTTTTTTTATACCACTGAGGTGGCAAACAAGCATACGGCCCACCTGATGGTAAGCGGTTACCGTAGCCTATGAACGCCTGCAATACCAGAGGTATTACGCGCGCGTTGCCGACCCTGAAGAAACCTCTTTACCCCCTTTTGAAGAACCCCATGCTGTAGTCTCTCGGGAAAACCTCGGCAGGGAGCTCATTCCATAACCTGAGTGTTCGTGGGAGAAAGCATCTCTGAAACCGCGTTGTACGCGACCATTTAGGCTGTAAGGTATGAGGGTAAACTCCCTGTCGATGGCGAGCCGTACGATGATAGAAAGTGGCCGTAGGCATCATATTGAATAATTCCTCTGAGCACAATCCGTTGTATAAGCGGTAGAACACGCAGAGTGAGGCAAAATCTCTCCTAAGACTTAAGGGTTCAATACCGCTTGCAAGCATGGGATCATCGACAATTCTCATAGCTCGTCGTTGCACTGAGTCGAAGGGTTCAAGCTGGTATCTAGGTGCTCCCGCCCATAAGTGACAGCAATACTCCATATGTGATATGGCTACTCAATAATTTTGCGTAGTTAATTCTGGTGTAGAGCCTCCTCATAAGATAATTTTTTCACAGTTTGTCTTGAAATTCCCAAAAAGATTGTTATTTTCTTAGCTTGCCTGGTGACTCGTCTATGGTATTCTATTTTTTTGGTGGAGGTGCCCTGTGAGTGGAATTTTTTTTAATTAGTGTTCAGATAATATGTATAATGTAATATGTATACAATAGAATTAAATACCATTTTCAGGAAAGAGGAAATATCATCATATTTGTGCATAGGCGATATACCCTAGCTATACTTACATTTGGACAGAAACCGAGTTGGTTGATTCTAAGGTTAGAGCCACTACTCCATCACTGCGTGCCAAATCTGGTTTCCGTTGGAATGACTCTGCAGACAAAATAAGAGAAATACAATAATTTAATACATTACACGTACAGTGACGAGGTTGGCGTGGCTTAAGGCAGCGGTATATTGCCCGGCTTACGAGTATATGCCCCAAAGTTCATGTGTTCGGATTTAGCCGACACCAAATACTTTGTACGTCGATATTAAGGACTGACTAATTCCGGTGATAAAAAAACATCGATAACAAATAAAAATTTACTTCTTTACTGTCAACAACACATACATACATACATATCTGTCACGCCTGTCTCCCATTAGGGTAGGCAGAAACAATGCTTCGGCTCAAACAACAACACATACTTTGAGTATTTTATTTTTTCACAAATTTGTTGCCTGATGTAAATAAAACACTAAAAAGAACAAAGGTTTTATTTAAAGGATTACACAAATAAACTTCTCATAGAACATGCTTTTGCCCATCATTAGAATCAATACATAAAGTATTCTATGTGCGATATAATACAAGTAGCAACAAATTTCATTAAAATTCTTAGAGTAGTTTTGAGTGAAATAGTAACAAATATCCGTCCGTCCATCTATTCATTCGTCCTCGCAAACTTTTGCATTTTTAATATTATTAGGATACTCACCGTTCAACTGCGACATGGAGTAAGGGCCGAGTCCTCCTCCATGCTTTGAGCGTCTTGATGCAGAACAGCCTCCCTGATACAGAACACATCTGAGACATCAGCAGTAGCTGTTGCCGTGGTCACCTCCAGTCATTCGGTCCATCTGCTTGACTGGTCCTCGTCAGTCACTGCAGCGTTTTATAAACAATTAAAAAATTAATTAATTGAGAGAAATTTGATACTATTTATATTTAGAGAGTGTTTTAGTCATAATTTCAATAAGACTTAATTACCTTTCCGTTAAGTTTAATTGAAACGACCTCTATGTGCACTGGATGACAGTCGTAGCACACTGACGTTGTCAGCGAATTGCCCCTCTTTTATATGTGAGAAGTTATGATTTTTTCATGGGGTCCTTATAATAAATTTAAACGTCGATCTTAATAAGTGTATCATTTATAATTGTTGAAATTTGGGATTCAAATGAAATAGAATTCAAATAAAAATCAATTCTGTCCAATTTTTTTTATATATTAATAAAAAAAATCGTGGTGATGGGTATTAAATTTATATAAAAAGTAGGTCTTAATATTAGAAATATTTTTGAGCTAAATTAAGTATAAAATACCTGTCCGCGTACGAACATAGACAGTAGTGTAAACATGGCTGAGTATATTGCTACATACACTGTACTCCTTACGCATTGTTGTTCTTGAGGAACGAGGTCTCAGTACCTTGTAATTTTCCACTCTTCATCAGACGTCAAAGAGCACGGCTACTGCACGACAGAAACACGAGAGGGACAGAGGTATTCAAACAAAGTATTGTTCAGACTAGCTTTGCTGAAATGAATTAATTATTGAATCGTGTATTATCGGGTGTCCATCACCAGAATTATAAATCATCATCTTACTACCCTCATCCCAATTAATATTTGGAAACGGCCTAATATGTTTTTCCTTACACTCTTCTCTATTTATAGTCATTTTCCTATTCACTACCATTTTGGCTATATCTATTACACAGTCCGCCCGTAAAAAAGGGATGGTTTTTTAGGTCTTCCTCTGTCTTCATAGCCCTCCACCTTCAAACTTATTATCTTTCTTAAAACATGTTCCTTATCCTTGTGCATCATGTACCCATACCAGGGTAGACAGTTACTTCCTAATTTTTCTGTCCCTGGCACTCCTTTCGTACTTCCTCTGATATTCTATTAATTTTGTCTATTGTTGTCATACCACATATTCATCTCAACTACATGCAGTCGCCTTTTATGCATCAGCTTTGCTGGCCAACACTCTGGTCCGTACAGACAGCAGGCCGAGTTATGCATTTGTAAAATTTTCCCCTTAATTTTTTTTGGGAAGTTTTCTGTAACTTACCGCCATTTCATGTTTGGTATATTATAATATTTATTGTGTATTCGTTGAAGAAATAAAAAACTATTTTTACTTATGTCTAATTGTATTTCCTAAAACTTAATTCTAGAGTTATAAAAAATACTCGTGCGTTGTTTGGGGGAAGGGGGGGGTCTGCATCATAACGAAGTGGCCTCAGGATTTGTTTGTTTTATTATTATATTTAATTTTTTATGTTTTTTTTTTTTAATATTTTTAGTTTTTATGTCTTTTTATTTTAATTTTTTCACTTTATGTTTTTTTTTTTACTTTTTGTTTTTTTTTTATAATTTTTTTATAGTTATATTATGAGGCTTGTTGTTTATAATACTAACAAAGTGAGGCTTAGTATTAATTTTAAACATAGTGCATTACACTTACTAGTGGTATATATATATATATATATATATATATATATATATATATATACATATTATACTCGTATATTTAGAATGGGTCCAAAATTCTATCGTAGTTCGTGCACAATACCGTCGGGTAAATTATTACATATACATCCTTATGAGGCACAATGCTTAACATGTGTGTTCATGTTACAGTCCAGTCCAGTTTCGTTCCAATCACAATCAATCACTGTTTCCACTTTATATAAACGTAGAACGAGTGTTGATCGGCTGGTCAGGGCTCCAGCGGTACCGCGGAATCACAGCCTACCAGCACGCGTGGCGGCGGCGCTGGACACGTTGTATACTGCTAGAAAACAAATAAGAACTATTAGTAACAGTGGATAAATTGATCTGCAAGGGAGCAAGAGATTGCCAGTACAGGGCACGAATGGAACGTCGCTATGTAGTTTCACTGCCACATCCCACTTTTCGAACCAAAACACAGTTACGCAAGCGGAGCTGCTACAGAGGTGTCCATGCAGACCAGGACTCTCCAGACTCTTATTTACTTAAGTGCTTTAAATATATACATAAGATACTGTAGGTACTGATGCATGTGGACAAAGCCGCGAGAAACAACTATCTAATAAGATAGTCTGTGGCATGTAGCGACAGTTTTTAAAAAGAAGAAGTTTAATTTACACTCACCATCCACCCGCGGCACCAAGTTAGGGTGAGCCCCTGGTTCTCCTCCCAAGCTTTGAACGTCCTGATGTAGAATGCCGTGACTACCTGCTACACCAGCAGCGGCTGTCTTCACGGTAGCCTCCAGTCTTTCGACCTTCACGCTCGACTGGACCTCCTTCAGCCAATCGTGTAAAGTCGTTAAGACATTAAAAATCTGGAAATTTGTGAAGCTGTTTGTTGATCGCCAAGCTTAAACGACTAATCAGATTTCAATAAAATCTAGCGCGCAAGTAGATTATATCTTATTGTAAATGCAAGCAGTAGATGCACAGCTTAGTATAATAATATATTATACAACATCCATTCTGTAAAAAAATACAAGACAGGTTCTTAATATTAAAATTATGTTGCAAGTGACGACAAGCATTGTATATCCAACATGACTTTACACAAAGAATGCTATATGTAAAGTTATATTTGATAATACAATGTCACGGATAAAGCCGCGGAAAACAACTATTTTTTTATGCAACTTAGAATAACAAACAAGCTGACGGCCCACCTGATAGAAAGTGGTAACCGTCGCCTATAGACATGAGTAGTATCATGGACATAACAGAGTATACTGTTTCGCCCATGACAACCCCCATGCGTTGCCATTACTGAGGACTCAGGTGTTATTCCTCTGTATCCAGTAAAATTCACGCCATATCCCACCCTTCAAACCGAAACACAGCCATGCAAACACAACTGCTTCACGGTTGAAACACGAATGGAACAGAGGTACCCAAGCAAACAACTTTTGTACAAAGTTTCCCTCTGGTAAACTAGATACTAATAAGTTGGTGAGAGACATAAAGGTCGACATATTTCGAAAAGAAAAAGTATAATTTATAATCACCATCTGCCTACGACACCAAGTTGTGATGAGGCCCTGGTACTCCCACCAAGCTTTGGACGTCGGGATGCAGACTACCTTGGCGAACAAAGCCACTCTAACAGCGGCTGTCGTCGTGGTCGCCTTTAGTTATTGAGTCCACATGCTGGACTGATCCTCATCAGTCACTGTAATGATTTACATACAAATAAAAAATCAATTAATTAATTAAAAAAATCGATTAGTCACTATTTTCATTTAAATAGTATTTCAGAAATAATTTCAACAAAACCTAGCTACCTTTTCGTAAAGTTCCATCGTGGACTGGAAAATGCTAAGTGGCTAACGTCGCCCATGAAGGGCTACGTTAACCACTTAGCATTACAGTTCACTGACGTCGCAGCGCGGTGCCGGCCTTTTATATATTAGAAACGATGCATTTTTCATGAAGTGCTTAATTTGTATAGTGTTCTTTCAGAAAATTGACGCCATAAATTTGAACATTGATCTTTCTAATCGTAGCATCTGTTGTAGAAGTTAGTAATTCGAATAAAAATGGTTCATCCATTTTTGAAACATTTTTGAAACAATTGTCAGAAATAACATATACATTATTCATGTACGTAGATATCCAATGAAAAATAAATACAGACAGTAAATAATTTTTTCTTATATTTTTTGTTTTATGTTAATAAGAAAGTTTTTACTTGAAAACATTATGGGGGACTTTATAGTTAAGTAAAAAGTAGGCGTTAACATAAAAAATATTTTTGAGCACCGTAGCATTTTGTTGCTACTTTCTAAGCAATTACCAAAAGAAGGTGGTTGCCGATTCGTCTGATTCTTTGGATTATGTTACAATATATTAGGTCACTCCATCAATTCAGGGACGAGTTTTGCAAACTATAGGAATAGAATAGAATAGAAATAATCTTTATTCAAAAAGTCTTGTTTACGAGCGCGGTTTGACGATGGGGCCACCGTTGTTGCTTTTTTAACTTGCTTTTATGTAGTAATGTTTGTGGAAATAAGTATTAATTTTATTTGTGTACATATTATTAATCGTTGTAATCTGTGTCGTTTTTTGAGTAAAACAAAAAAGAGTTTTCATTCATTCATTCATTTATAAAAGAGTGATTATAATAATACATAATATCGAGTACATATTTGTTGCTTTAGTACTCGAATGTGATAGACTGTGACCTCTGAGTATCCCTCTTCTAATGGTATTAATAACAAATTATTTATTTAGAATAAAATATTAAATAGCAGTGAATGTAATGGGAATACACGACATATTTAGTTCATATTTATTTATTTTTTTAATTATTTTTTATTAAGGAATTTTTCGGCTGGCTTTTGCCCATAACAATGTATCAGTGCTTTGCTCTGTTGAGGGCAAAGAATTTTTATCTGTATTTCAAATTACTGTTACGTTGCTAAATCACTTTGAGTAATTAAAAGTCGAAAATAGTAGATACGTAATCGCAAAACTGTCAGTTTGTCATCTTCAATATATTTCAATTCAAAATCTTAGCAACGATTTAAATACAGTGAACTATTTTATTGGTTTTCCTATTTCTGAAATCTCCGAATACAAGATCGTGTGCAAAAGCCGGTTTCTTTATATTAATAATATTTTTCTTTTTATCTATTTTAATATTATAAATCTCAAAGTGTGTTTGTTTGTTTGTTAGCCCTTTACGCCTTAACGGCTCAACCAATCGTCTTGAAATTTGGTATACCTACACGTACTATGTGAGATGCAGAAGGGCACAGATTACTATTTATTTATTAAATAAATGTATATAAATAAATTCATGTTTGGAATCTCACATACATACGGTGACGGTAGACGTTGATATTTATTCGACGTGAATATAGATATCTATCGATAAAATAAGTAGCAGCTATGAATAACAATAATTAGAATAATGTCGCTTAAAGATTAATAGAATTATGGTGTTTTTTTTTTATGGGTGATAATGGAATGGTAATCCCACCCACGCCAGCGGTATACACCGGCGGGCCACCAGTGAAGGATGATAGGTGAGGGTGAAGCAGGTCAGTTAGCCCATCGTGACGAATTCAACAAGAATTGTTCACGATGGTTTCCAGGGGGAACCACGTGGAAGTCGACCTACTAGGGCATATTGCTGGCAATGGGGCTATCAAACTCCATTGCTAACAATCCCTTTCTCCCTGTCTTATGGTGTTGGGTAAAACCGACCTTAACGATTTCCTTATATGATTAAAATTATAAATTCGAACTGTAGTCTATTCGAAAATAAAGTCGAACTATAAATTATAACAATTTATAGTATGTATTTATAGTTACTTAATTCCCTTATCTCTGCCACATTATCTTACTTTTTACTATTAAGTGAGTATTTGTTATTTCTGTCTATTCAATGTTAAATATGTAGTATTTATTTGTGGAAATTTTGCTGATTTGTATGTTATTTATATGTATATACTAAGTGTAATAAGAAACTGTTTGTTTTCCAAATAAAATAAAATAAAAGCATTTTTATTTATTCTGAATGATTTTAAAAATTACACAGCTGGCGAAGTAAAACATTAAAAAGCATTAAATTAGCATCTCATTAATACCTTGTTTCACAAAGTTTCAAATATATTTTTCAAATAAAAAAATACTCTCTAGCTTTATAAGCCTATTCTGCATGAGTAACGTTTTTATTTGCTAGCAGTAAGCTAAAGTTATGGTCGTCCGTAGTTCTAAAGTAGGTAGAATAAAAAAAATGTCGAATAAATAAGCACGGTATCCTTATTGCGGATTTTATCGTGCAAAGAAACTCTCTCCTTTCCGTAGCTTGCTGAGAAGGACAACCGTATTTCGGATCTATATGTCATCACTGACCACACACTGGTCCTCAGGAATTGCAACACATGGGGGGTATCATGGGCGAAACAGTATACTCTGTTATGTCCATGGTACTGCTCATGTCTATAGGCAACGGTTACCACTTACCAACAGGTGGGCTGTCAGCTTGTTTGCCATTCTAAGTTGTAAAAAAAAGGTATTTATAATAAAAACAAAAAGTTTGTAACACCAAAAATTTTATTTTATTAAAGCATGCTAAAGTTGGGACTACACGTATCGTACGTATGTCTAGATATAAGTATGGTATAATTAATTTCAACAAAAACATAAATTTTACATTTACATTAGAGCCAAATTCGATTTGACTCCGTGGCAAAAAGAATTGAGATGCAATGGGTGCCAAATTCTATGTATACACAATCTTAAAATTTACAAGAACATGCGAAGTTATAAAATAAGTTTATATAACAATTTATTTATTGGTATTTCTATAATGATTGCTGTTTAAGAGATATAATAAATTCTTAAATTTTAACAGTCTATTATTTACACTGGGATGAATATCTAATTTTTAATATATACAAGAATATTTTATTTTGCTTCATTCATTAAATACGAGTCTAAGATTTGTCTCTTCGATAACTTTTTTATAATTTATTATAGCGTTGAGCCGCCTCATATAAAGAAATGTTACTTTTTCTCGTAATTGTTCTTGTCCTTCGAATTCTCATAAAGATTGCTGAGTGTTCATTTTTTGCCTGGTGACTCAACTTTGGCGCTCAATTCTTCTGATGAAGATGACCTGTGAGTGTACAATTGTTCTAATTAGAAATCAGATATTATATACAATATATATACAATTGAAAACGCTTCTTAAAGATTAGTTTCCTTATAAATTTAAACTATTTATTATGATTTGAAGAGTGGGACGTGGTAATTTACAGTGTACAGAGGCACTTTAATCCTCAGGAATGGCTACGCATGAGGGGTATAATGGGCGAAACAGTATACTCTGTTATGTCCATGATACTGCTCATGTCTATAGGCAACGGTGAACACTTTCCATTAGTTGGGCCGTCGGCTTGTTTGTCATTCAAGTTGCATAAAAAAACTGTACAGTACAATTAGTAATTAGTGTAATATTAAAAAAATATACAATATTAATAAACATTTAATGTAGAACGAGTATTGAGCAGCTGGACAGGGCTCTTGCGATACTACCATATACTGTGACGCCCATGGTATTCCTGAATACTACAGTGCTGTGCCTTCGTACCACTTGTAATTTCACTGCTATATTTCAACCTTTCAAATAGAAACACAGTTATGAAAGATTAGCTACTTCATGGCAAAAAACGGGTGGGACTTAAGTACCCATAAAGACCTATTTACTTAAAATGTCATTCTAGGCAAAGGGAAAATACCAACATCTTCGTATACAGGCGATCTATCTTCACTATACTCACATATGGACAGAAACCGAGTCGGTTGATTCTGAGGATGAAGCCACTATTTCATCAGTGCCTGCTAAATCTGGTTTCTGTTGGTGTGAGTCTGCAAATAGAATAAGAGAAATATAAAAGTTTATTACATTACACACACAGTGACGAGGCCGGCGTGGCGTATGGCGGCGGTATACCGGCTTATAGGCTCCAAAGTTCATATGTTCGGATCTGGTCGATACCAAATACTTCGTATATCAATGTAAACGCATTGTTGATGGTGAATAAATTAATTAATTGTTTGTTATCGCTGTTTTTCATCACCGGAATCAGTTAGCTCTTCACATTGACTTACAAACTATTTGGTGTCGGTTGTGTAAAAACACAAACTTGTTGCCTGATATGCATAAAAAAAAACAAAAAAGGCGAAGGTTTTTCTCAAAAAATCGCACAACTAAACTACACTACGATATATCACTGGTAATAGCAAATTTCATTAAATCCGTATTTATTTATTTTACATTTAATTGTAATGAGAAATAATACAAAAGGCGGCCTTATTGCTAAGCAATCTCTTCCAAATCAGACAATTTTTGTGGCGCACTATTACATGTATATATATATATATATATATATATATATAAACAAGTAACAAACATTCGTTCGTTCATCTATCCCTCCGTCTTAACAAACTTGAATTAATGTTAATAATATACTCACCATCCGGCTGCGACACAGTAGACACGTCAGAGGTAACGTCCTGTATTTTTTGAAGCTTCAAACGTTTTGCTGCATAACACCACGCCTTATACAACATGCACCTTCGACCACACCAGCAGCGGCAGCCGACGCGGCTCCCTTTAGTTATTCGGCCCATATGCTTGATTGGTCCTATTCACTCACTGCCGACTTTTATACACTATTAAATAATACGAGTATATCAATCATAAAGATTACAATAAAAAATTAAAGTAAATATTAAAATTTGTTACAATATTAAAATAATAATAATAAAATAATATAAAAATTTCGGTAAGACAATTTCAGTAAGACTTAGTTATTTTCTCGTTAAGTTTAATTTATTCGGATTATATGTGGACTAT